GGAAGTCCTTTTGTATGAACTTCTATGTCCCATGCACACACACACACACACACACACACACACACAACCACAGTTAATCAGATCAACAAGGTGACCGTTTTAGAAAGCAGGGCTTTGGGAAGGGGAGGAGGGCACAAGGGTGGCATCCTCTAGAGGATTCTGACTGAAAAAAAAACCCAACAAATAATAGTGTCCGTATGGTAGAGTATCAAAGCCATTTGATACATAAGCAAACCTTTTAAAAACATTGAAAAATGCTGTGGAATAATTTTAGGTTAAAATTGTTGGAATATTATTTCAAATAAATATTTGCAGAAATCTTTGGAAAATTACAGGAATATTTGGAAAACCGCTGAAATGTTAGCAGTTATCATCACAAATGGAAGGATTATGAAAAAGAACATTTTTTTTTTTCCTTTTTTTTTGTTCTTTTTGAGACAAGGTCTCCCTGTAGCCTCAGACTGGCCTCAAACTCACAGAGATCAGCTGGCCAGCCTCTGTCTCCCAAGTGCTGGGATTAAAGGTGTGCACCACCATGCCTGGCTTCCTTTTCTTTGAAACAAGGTCTTACTATATAGTCCTGGCTGGCCTAGAACTCGCTGTGTAGACATATAGACTAAGCTAGCCTCAAACTCACAGCAATCTTCCTGCCTCTACCTCCCAAATGCTGGAATTAAAGGTGTTTCCACCACTGCCATCTTTGTCTTGCTTTTTGAAACGGGGTCTCCTTCTGTAGCCAAGGCTACAGAAAATTTCTAGAATAGACTGGCCTCAAACTTGTGGTGATCCTCCTGCCTCTGCTTCCTGAGTGCTGGGGTTACAGCCCTGAGTCACCAGGCCCTGCTCATTTAGTGACATTTCCAAGTGTGCATGTAGGTGTGGATGAACAGTTGTCCTGTAGCTGACTTTTACCAAATAACTTATTTGGTGAATAAGAGAATAGTAACATAGAGGATCAGAGGAAACTTTGATGCCACAGTGAGAGGGATATTCTCTGTGTACACTGAGTGGTGGCGAGGCCTTGAGGCTGTCCTTTTGTTGGCTTCAATGACTGGAGAATCCTGACAGTGGTGTTCTGTGGGTATGATCATCTCCCACTCTTGGGTAGATCTGTTTCTCCATGATTAGGGTTCCTCTCTGTAAATCAAGGAAGTAAGAAAGTTTCCATGACAAAAAATTGGAGGAAAGGGGGCTGGAGAAATTTTCAGTTATTAAGAGCATGGACTGCTCTTACAGAGGACCCGGGTTCCATTCCCAGCAACCACATGGCAGCTAACGAAATGTAACTCCAGTTCCGGGGGATCTGACACCCTCTTCTGACCTCCACAGGCAGTGCATGACATGGGTGCACTTATCGAGGGCCGTGTGTGTGCATGCTTGTGAACTGGGGCCTCTATTTCTAGGTTGTTTACCACTCAGCCCAGAAATAACATTCCTTCTGTTCTGCAGGAATTCTGGAGAACAGAACCAGTCATCATTAGGCTGGTTGTACCGTGACTTAATTGAAATGAAGGAAAGAATTACTCAGAACTCTCGCTTAGATTAAATACAAGTATGTAAAAGATTTCAATTTCTGCTCAATTAGAATTTCAGGATTTTTTTCCTTTACTTTTGTAGTGCTCAGGATTGACTTGAACCCATGGCCTTGTGCATGCTAAGCAAGCACCCTATCACTGAGCTACACATGATGTGAATTTAAAACTCGTGTGGTTGTTGATGTATAGGTGGTATCTAAATGTTGTCATACAGCTTGTATTTATTGTTCTTCTGTTCAGGTTGAAATGCTGTCATAATACCCTGTTATTTAGATTTTCAGTTCAGCTTGCCTAGGCATGATGGAAGGAATTAAGTGGCGTCCAGATGCATTGAAGACACACCTGGCTTATTAACTGTTAGGGACCCTAATTTGAGTTATATTTGAGAACTTGAGTTGTGTTTAAACTCTGGTTCAGTATTGGGGGAGGGCAGTTGATCTCTTTTATCCATGCCGGAATACATTGCCCTTTTGGTTTAGCGTTGAGGACAGTGTGAATGTGTTGGGAAGTAAGTTTGTAGCAGTAGCTTTTGAAAACACTAGCCTGTAATTACGGATTTTTTTTTTCTACAACTTGCCCTTTCCATTTACCATTTGTGGTATTTTTTTGTCTTAATCATTTATACAGGATCTCTGCAAATATATACTACTACTCACTGGATAGGAAGCCAGAAATGGGCCATAGCTGGCAATTGTTTATTTATCTGACCTCTTTCAGGCTGTGAAAAGGGGATAATCGTTAAGTACCTGGGGATTTTCTTTTGTTCCTTTGTTTGGTTGTGCAGTGCTGGGGTTGAACCCAGGGCCTTATATATGAAGAATCACTCTAATCTACTGAGCTATGCCCACCGCCCTTGTTTTGTTTTTTTAAACAAAGACATTATGAGGGGGGCTGGGGAGATGGCTCAGTGGATAATGCACTTGTCAAACAAGCATGAGAACAGGAATTTGGATCTCTAGAACCCAAATAAGTGCGAGGTGGGTGTAATTCCAATCATTGGAAGGCAGAGATGGGGTTCCTAGAGCAAGCTGGCTACGTAGACTAGCCATATTGACAAATGCTGGGTTCACTTGGGAGACCTTGCCTCAGTGAACAAGGTGGAGAACAATTGAAGAAGACTTCCGATGTCAACCTCTGGACTCCACATTGCACACACACATGTGAATAAACATACATGTGCATGAACACATGCCAACATGCATGTACACATACATGCATACCACATACACACAAAAAATTATGAGTGGATCAGTAGAAAGGACTATCAGAATCAGAAAAGCACCTCCACACCTGTATCTAAGAGCTTGTTAAGTCGGTTGGCAGATTGTCAGAGGGTCTTGTGAATCAAGTATGGAAGACCCAAGTTGCTATGCAAGATCAAGATGCACAGAACCCTTGACAGTGTAGGGTGCTGATGAACCCTTTGTCCATGGGTAAATGTTCTGGGGATTTCCCAAATGCTGTGAAAGTCACATTTGCCCTGTAGTCAGGGCATTTATCTTCTAGAGTGGGACCTTGTAGCTCCAGTTTTGTTTTGTTTTTTCCCCAGTAAATTGTTGCTAAAAACTACAATCCAGGGGCTGGAGAGATGGCTCGGTGGTTAAGGGCACTGGCTGCTCTTGCAGAGGACCTAGGTCCAGTTCCCAGCATCCAGATGGCAGCCTACAGCCATCTGTAATTCCAGTTCCAGGGAACTAGACCCTCTCTTTTGACCTCTGCAGGCATTTTACACATGGGTGCACTTATATACATGCAGATAAAACACTCATACACATAAAATAAAAATGAATAAGTAAACTTTTTTTTTTTTTTGGAGACAGGGTCTCCCTGTAGCCCCAGCTGGCCTGGAACTCACTATGTAGACCAGGTGGTGCATGTCTTTAATCCCAGCACTCAGGAGGCAGAAGCAGGCAGAGCTCTGTGAGTTTCAAGATCATAGCAAAGGGAAACGGGATGAGGAAACCACTCCTATAACCTAATACTCTGGACACTAAGGCAGGATTGCTGTGAGTTCCAGGACAGTCTGAGGAGTAGTGTGAGACCCTTTCTAAGGAAAGGAAGCAAACAAAAAGCCTTTCAAGAGGGAGTTAAAAGTGAAGCCAGGCATGGTAGCACACACCATTAAATTTCAGCTGCTTTTGAGGCTGAGGCAGGAAGATTGCTTGAGGCTAGTCTGGGCAATGTAGTGAGGCATGGCCTAAGCCTGTAATCCCAGCACTCAGGAGGTAGAAACAGGAGGATCAGGAGTTCAAGGACAGCCTGGGCTACATGAAACCCTGTCTCCAAAGTTTAAAAGGGCATGGTTTGCCAACAGAAGCCAGTAGTTTTGGTCAATTTTGGTTGTTTTTATTCTTCCATCAGGAAGTCCATCCCCCAGTGCAGAAGTCTGTTTATCGCTACTTACTTTCTCCTTAGCTGACTGTCACGATAAATGTTACTAATGCCAAACCTTGTTATTAAGACAAGGTCTCACTGTAAAGCCCAGGCTGGCCTCAGCCTCCCAAGTATTGGGACGGGTTGAGCTGTCATGCATGGTCACTAATGGTGAACTTGAAGAGTAAGTTAAACAACTTGCCCGGAAAGTTAGTAACAAGATGAGATGCCCAGTCTCAGTTTCCCTCTCCTAGAGCCAGCTCCAAAAAAGAAGCAAAATAGATCTGATTTTTAGGTACAATTTAGACTCTAAGAGACCTGGATTAATGTTTGTGTTCTTTAAACCTAATTAGGCCTGACTTTCTAGCTTTTGTTTCTTTTTCAATGTGCGGAAAATAATCAGGCCTAATTCTGAGGATTACTTTGAAGAATAATTAATGCCATGCATGCTGAACACTTAGTGCTGGGTTTCAAACAGAAAGCCAGGGCTGGGATGTGGCTCAGTAGCAAAGGACAGGCTTAGCATGTTCAAGGCTCTGGGCACCATCCCCAGCACATAACGGAGTAGGAGGGAGGGAAGGAGGGAGATGAGAGAGGAGGGGAAGAAGGAAGGGAGAGAAGGGGAGGAAAAAGAATTCTGTTATTTGTGGGTCTGTGCTGGTGTCTTTGTCGTAGCCTTGTGTACTCAGGTCTGCACAGGTCCTCAGGAGCAAGCATGATACTGCATGGCAAGCTCTGCCCTCTGTGTTTGCTTCTTCTGAAAGCCGATACTTTCTCTAAGGCAGAATCAGTTGGTTCCAGTTAACCCTCAGGAATACATTCATGAGGTATAGAAACAGACAGGCTTTTGACACGATTTTCCCTTCATTCTCTTTCTTTTTCTTGTTTTATGTGTACGCTTGTCATGCAGTGCCGTGGAGGTCAGAAGAGGGCTTCGGATTCCCCTCGAACTGGAGTTAAGGACAGTTCCTAGCCACCATGTGGGTGCTGGGAATCAAACCCGGATCTTCTGCAAGAGCAGTCAGTGCTCTTAACTGCTGAGCCATCTCTCCAGCCCCTTCACTTGCTTTCTTTCTTGTGTTTTTCAAACAGTGTCTTTGAGGATGAGACCATGAAGCTCCGACGGCTGAAGCTGGACAACCAGGTGAGCAGAGACAGAGGTGGAGGATGCACTGACTGGTGCTGAGGGCCAAGTCTCTGGAGTCTTGGCAGAGTCATAGAAAGCCTGAAAAGGCAAGACCCCTCGTGGTGACTCATTAAGTGGTCTGGGCCAGTGGACCGTTCCAGGATCATAGTGGTTTGAAGATGGCCGCAATGAACTGGCTTTACCTATAATCACTGAAAATTCCCTGGCAACTTAAACAAAAATTAGAACATTATAGCTAGATGTGGGGGCTCATACTTGTTATCTCAGCACAAGAGAGGCCAAGGCAGGAGAATTGCTGCAAGTTCAAGATCAGCCTGAGCTACATAGGGAGACCCTATCTCACAAAACTAAAATAATAATAATAATAATAGTGATGATAGATAAAAGTTATATTAGTCTGTTTTCTGTTGCTGTAACAAAATATCTGAGACATTATAACAAAGAGACTTATTTAGCCCACGGGTTTGGAGATTGAAAATCCAAGATCAGGCAGCTTTTTCTGTTTGGTCTCTGGTAAGGCCCCTTAAGTTATATCACAGTGTGACAGAGAAGAAACAAGGGAAGCCACTGGGTACAAAAAGAAGAGATTGCATGGTAAGATAGAAAACCAGAGAGACTGTTTTGCTTTGTTTTTGCTTTTTGAGATAGTCTCCGATTCTATAACCCAGGCTGGCCTTGAATTCATGGATCCTCCTACTTCTACCTCCTGAATGTTGGGATTATATAGTAATAACAACTTGCTCCTAGAATCAGCTGACATCCTGGGTTGAGAACTGCCTTAAATCCTCCCCAGAACAGGCCTCCCAAATGACCAAGTGGCCTTCTACCAGCCCCCAGCTCTGTTGTACTCTGTAACTGTCCTGGAATTTTTCCTTCTACCTCAGCCTCCTTGTGCTGGGCCTACAGGCCTGTGCTACATTCCCAGCTCTAGGCTCCAATCCTTCAACTTCCACACCACTCAACATGTCTATACTGGGACTGCACTTCAGTATGTGATTCTTTGGGAAATGCTCCCAACCACATCCAAAAAGTAGCAGTTCCATTTAGTTTAAAGGTTTCACTTATCCTAAAGTGTGATATAAACTTGCTGCTAGGCTGCTTAGTTTTTTATAGTGCTAGTTCCAGTTTTAAATATTATTTTATTACATTTGCTTTTCTTTTTTTTTTCATGCAAGGAGGGGTTGGGTTTTTTTTTAACATTTTATTTATTATTTTTATTTCATGTGTATGCATGTATTACCTGCATGTAAGTAAGTGCACCTGTGTTGTACAGTACCCTCGGAAGACAGAAGAGGCTGTCGGATCCCCTGGAATTGGACTTACAGATGTTAGCTGCCATGTGGGTGCTGGGATTCAAACCCAGGTCTTCTGTAAGAACAGTCAGTGTTCTTAAGCACCGAGCCACCTTTCCAGCCCCAGGGGTTGGTTTTTTTGAGACAGAGTCTTACCCTGTAGCCCAGGCAGGCCTGAAACTCAACTTTGTAGCTCAGGCTAACCTTACACTTGCAACAGTCCTCCTGCCTCAGCCTCCTGAGTGGTAGAATTACAGGTGTGCACCACCCAGCCCAGCTGTTTGTTTCCTTTACTAGACTAGTCATAGAAATAAGAACCAAGTATGGTTTGCTCATTTTAATTTTTTAAAATTTATTTTAATTTTATGTGTATGAATGTTTGCCTACATGTACCAAAGTGCACCCATGCATGGAATGCCCATGGAGGGGCCAGCAGAGGGCGTCAGAGCCCCTGGAATTGGAGTTACAGCCAGTTGTTAGCTGCCATGTGGGTGCTGGGAACTGAACCTGGGTCCTCTGCATGAGTAACTAGTGCTCTTAACTCCTGAGCCATCTCTTCCGAGACAGTGCCTCTGACTTCCATGGGAATATACATAGACACATACATATACATAATTAAAAAATTAAAATAAGCTGGGTGTGGTGGCGCATACCTTTAATCCCAGCACTCCAAGAGGCAGAAGCAGGCAGATCTCTGTGAGTTCAAGGCCAGCCTGGTCTACATAGTGAGTTCAGGTCAGCTGGGGCCCTGTCTTAAAAAAAAAATTTTTTTTTGAATTTTTAAATTTTATTTTTATTTATTTTTTTTCGTGCAATGCCTGAGGAGGTTAGAAGAGGCTGTCGGATCCCCTGGGACTGGAGTTACGGACAGTTGTTAGCTGCCATGTGGGTGCTGGGATTCAAACCTGGGTCTTCTGCAAGAACAAGCAGTGTTCTTAACTGCTGAGCCATCTCTCCAGCCCCACATTTTTTTTTTTTAAATGGGTCATTTGTCTTTTCGTTGTATAAATTTTAAATTTGAAATTTCTTAATCCTTATCAGAAATATGGTTCATAGACAGTATCTCCCATTTAAAAAGTGTTTAATATTTATGTGTACGAGTGTTTTGTGTATGTGTCTAACTATACCACATGTGTGCAAAGACTAGAAGAGGGTGTCAGATACCTTGGAACTGAAGTTACAGATGGTTGTTAGCTGCCATGTGGATGCTGGGGACTGAACCAGAGTTCTCTGCAAGAGCAGCCAGTGTTCTTAACCGCTGAGCCATCTCTCCAGCCCTCCATTTCATGTCCCTTTTTTTTCGTTGTTTTTGTTTTTTGAGACAGGGTCTCTCTGTAGCCTGAATTAGCTTGGAACTCACTATGTAGACCAGGTGATCTCAGTCTCACAGAGCTCCCCAGCCTCTGCTTCCGGAGTGCTGGGATTAAAAGCTTGTGCTACCACATCTGGACTTTTTTTCTTTGTGCTGATATCTTTTCAGTGTAAAAATACCGATTTCTCTCTCTCTCTCTCTCTCTTTTTTTTTTTTTTTTTCCTTTTGGCTGCTTCTACTGTTGGTATTATATCTAAGAACACATTTACAAAGTTACAAAGGCTTGCATCTGGCCTCAAGCTCACAGAGAGCTGCCTGCCTCTGCCTCCTGATAGCTGGGATGAAAAGAGCATGGCCACATTTGGCCATGCATGCTTGACTTTCTTAGTACCCATATTCTTTATCTTGCTGTGGTTTGGGTTTGGTTTCGGGGAACTTAGTCTCACCCTGGTACCCAAGCTGACCATGAACTCCTGGGCTCAGATGTCCTTCTGTTTCAACCTCCCAAGTAGCTATCTGCAAGAATGCTGCCATGCTCAGAGCCACCCCCAACACACACACACACACACACACACACACACACACACACATGCACACCCCATCATGCCCAAATCCTTGCACATACAAGGCAAATGTTCTACAGCCCCGTTGGCCGTTTATCTTGCTTTTATCCATAGACTTGCTTTCCACTTGGAATGATACAACTGCCTTGTTTTTCCTTCTCATCTTTGACCCAAGTTCCTTTGATTTCAAATTTTGTAAGATGAACAAGAAAAGCAAAACTGAGGTGCACACACCTGTTATCCCAGGACTTGGGAGGCTCAGGCAGGAGGATCACAAGTTCAGGGTCAGCCTAGGCTAAGAGGGAGACCCTGTCCCATAAAAGTGCCTGAAGTGTTCCCATTTCTCATGTTAGAATTCAGCCCTTCTTGGGATGATTAGTGTAAAACAGCCCAGGAAGCTGCTCCAGGTGGCTAGGCCGTATGCTGTAACACCGCATTTCCCCCCTAGAGGGCACTGCTGGAGAAGAAGCAGAGAAAGAAGCGCCTTGAGCCTCTCATGGTACAGCCGAACCCCGAAGCCAGGCTGTGCCGATTGAAGCCTAGAGTCAGTGAGGAGCACGCCCCCTTGGTGGACCCACAGACTTCTCGCAGCGATGTCATCCTGCATGGTGTGTATTGAGGCACCGCCACTTCTGGCTGTTAGGTACAGTTTTCACAGACCCAAGACAAGGCAGGAGGATTCTCAATACAACCCAAGGACAGTGTTCGCATCTTTATTAGGCGCTTTTGGGGACCTTTATAATCACCTTCTGGATCTTTGAGTAAAATTTTAAAAAAAGAAAAAAAAACCTTGATTAGGAAAAGATGCCTTCAAGTTCCTGTCCATCCTAGAGCTATTGTTTTTAGATGCTAAATGAAGGAATCTAAAATGGCATAGCTGTGGTGCTCACCTTCAATCCCAGCACTCAGGAGGCAGAGGCAGGCAGATCACTGTTAGATTGAGGCTAGCCTGGTCTACATATGAGTTCCAGGCCAGGGGCCTCAGGGGGACTGTGTCTCAAAAATAAATAAATAAAATAAAAATAAATACATACATAAATAACATGGCATAATTGAGGAGCTTACAGGGTTTTTTCCCCTCTGACTTTCGGTGCTCGGGATAGAGCCAGGTCCTTGGGCCTGCTAGTCCAGCACCTCAGCAGTGAGCCACACCTCAGCCACTTGGTCCCTTTCCTAGGTTCTAAAGTATCACAGTAACTGCACAGTGCTTCAAGTAGCCAAGCATGCTAATAAGATCAACGCCAGTGTTGGACAAATGTCCTTGTGATATTAACGAAGGAGGACAGCTGAGATAGTTTAGAAGTTCTTAATCACTTCCCCGAGTTCCATTCTGCTTGACATCTTTTTCTTTGGGCTCCTAGGCATCGATGGCCCAGCCGCCTTCCTCAAGCCAGATGCTCAGGATTTGGAAAGCAAGCCCCATGTTCTCTCAGTGGGCTCTCCTGCTACAGAAGAGGACACAGAAGGAAGTGGGGATGGGGACAACCCTGGGGAGACCGCCTCCAAGCCAGACCTACAGGAGATCCTCCAGAAGCATGGTGAGGAGGACAGGTGGGGTTTAAGGCAGGGTGTCTGCATAACCTTGCTGAGCTTTCCTTCTCTCATTGCTTTACAATCTAAACAACTCAGCCTTGGCTCTGATGTTGTTGAGGGTTCAGGAGGTAACAGTTAAGCAAGCATCTTTGCTGTCCAAGTACTGGTCATTGTCTACAGTAGTACCTCAGAAGATGGAATAATTAACTACAGACTTGCCATTATTGTGACGTTTCCTTCCCTTTGGCAGTTTTTCATTTCCCTCCTCTCCTCTCAGCAGTCACCCTCAACCCCTCTGTCCCCTTCTGTTCCATCCTTCATGATGATGAGAGCCCACTTGGCATCAGCTGGTGCTCCCATGTGCATGATCCTCCTGCCCACTTCAGCGGTCCCTTAGTCTGGTCCTTAAACACAGTTTCATGGTGAGAAAAGATCAGGCAGCTGCCACCACCTTCCTCCTCCTCCTTTCTTTCTTTTCCTTTTTCCTTTCCTCCTCCTTCCTCCTCCTTCCTTCCCTCTCTCCCAGTTTCTCCCTCCCTCCATCTCTCCCTCCCTCTCCCCTCCTCTTCTCTCTTGACAGGGTATTGCTGTGTGTCCCTGGGTGGCCTCCAACTAGAGATCCTTCCTGCCTTGGCCTCTTGAATGCTGAGGCTGTAGGCATGCTCCACCCCACTCAGCTAGACACCTGCTCTTCAAATGAGGAAACTGTCGCCCAGTAAGGAATACGTGTCTTTGGACTGCTAGCTCCTGGGATAGATGGAATAGGTTCTGCTGCTAAGCCTAATGGCCTGAGTTTGATCACCAGAACCTACATGGTAGAGAGGCAGAGCTGACTACTTCTAGTTGTTCTCCACTCGCACATGTACACACACTAGATAAACAAATGCAGTTTTAAAATAGAAAGTAAATAGCAAGATGGCTCAGTGGATAAAGGTGCTTGTTGCTAAGCCTGATAGCCTAGGTCAGATCCCCAGAAACCAAATAGAAGGAAAGAACCAACTCCTCCAAGTTTTCCTCTGACCTCCACACATACCCTGTGGTACATGCATGCCCATATACATATGCACACCAAATGAACAAAAATGTAATTTTTTAAAATGAAAAAAATTGAGCTAGAGAGATGGCTCACTGGTTAAGAGCACTGACTACTCTTGCAGAGGACCCAGATGTGGTTCCCAGCAACCACATGGTGGCTAACAACTGTCATTAACTCCAGTTCCAAAAGATCCAATTCCCTCGTCTGGCCTCCATGGGCATTGCATGCACATGGTGTACTTACATAACATGCAGGCAAAACACATAAAATTAGAATAATTAAATCAAAAATATTTGGGGGGCTGGAGAGAATGCTCAGCAGTTAAGAGCACTGACTGTGCTTGCAGAGGACCCGGGTTCAATTCCCAGCACCCACATGGCAGCTCTGAACCATCCTTAACTCCAGTTCCAGGGGAATCCGATGCCTTCTTCTGACCTCCGGGGCTTTGCACGACATGGGTGCACTCACATATATGCAGGCAATACACTGATACACATAAAATAAAAATAATAAAATATATTTTTAAATATTTTTAATTCAGAAAAGGTTCTGAGTACATAGCATATATTGAGTATTATTCTAGTAAAGCCATTTCAAAGCCTGAGGCTTTATGGATTGGGGATGTACCTCAGTGGTAGAGTGCTTGCCTTGTATACATGAAGTCCTAGCACCCACATCAGATGGCTCACAACTGTATATAACTCCAGCTTCAGGTTACCCAACACCCTCTTCTGGCCTCAGTAGGTACTGCTATTTCATCTTGGAAGAAATGTCTGTTTCTTTGCCCATTTTTGAGTTGGCTATTTTGTTGTTGGAGTTGTGTACTGTGGATATAAATATCAGATAAATGATTTGCAAATACATTTCCCATTGGACATGTTTAAAAGAGCTGTGTGGCAATGGTGTAAGGAGGGCAAGAGATGAACATGTGAGAGGCTGATGGTGAGGAAGGTGAAGGCAGAAAGTTAAGTTATCTGTCAGCATCTTCAGAGGAAGAGACCCAGTTCTGCATCAGCCAGAAAGCAGCCACAGTGTGTAATTCGGAAACTTCTTCCTTTGCAACTAATTGGACTAATTTGAAGGACTGTCACATTTGGGGTAAAATGTGTTTGGGGTCATAGGAACCTCTACACAACTCCATTGCTGGAATTCAAACCCAAGACCTCTTGCATGGTAGGCAAGTGCTCTATGACTGAGCTACATCCCCAACCCAGTTAGCAATTTATAATTAAAAAATTTTTTTTATTTGTGTGTGTGTGCACAGGCGCACACCAGAGGACAACTTTCAGGTATCAGTTTGCTCCCCTTCCACTATGGTGGGATCTAGGAATCAAACTCAGCTGCACAGCAAGTGGGCTTTTTTACCCACTGAGCTATCTCACTGGTCCCCATTTAAGAACTCCAGGAAGGGGTGGTGAGACAGGGTCTCATGTAGCCCAAGCTAGACTCAAACTTGCTATGTAGCTGAAGCTAGCCTTGACTTCCTAATCCTCCTGCCTCTGCCTCCTGAATACTGGGATTATAGGCCTGTTCTACTATACCTGGCCCCAGTTAGGGATTGTTATTCTTATTCTTTTTAAAAAATATTTTATTTATTATTTTTATTTTATGTGTATGCATGTATTGCCTGCATGTAAGTAAGTGCACCCGTGTCATGCAATGCCCGTGGAGGACAGAAGAGGCCAGCGGATCCCCTGGAACTGGAGTTAGCTGCCATGTGGGTGCTGGGATTCAAACCAGGGTCTTCTACAAGAACAACCAGTGTTCTTAACCACTGAGCCATCTCTCCAGCCCTATTCTTATTCTTTTTTTTAAATAAATTTTAAAAATATTTTATTTACTATTTTTATTTTATGTTTATGAGTGTATTGCCTGCATGTATGTAAGTGCACCCGTGTCGTGCAGTGCCACAGAGGTCAGAAGAGGGCCTCAGATTCTCCTGGAAATGGAGTTAAGGATGGTTCATAGCTGCCATGCGGGTGCTGGGAATCAAACCCGGGTCCTCTACAAGAGCAGTCAGTGCTGTTAACCTCTGAGCCATCTCTTCAGCCCTTTATTCTTATTCTTATTACATATTTGTGTATATGTGTGTGCACACTACAACATGAATGTGGAAATCAGAAGAATCAATTCTCCCACCATATGGGTCCTGGGGTTCAAACTCAGGTTGTCAGGCTTGGCAACAATCAACTTTTTCCACTGAACCATCTCTCTCACCCCAGTTAGAAATGTTTTAAGTGAGCCAGCACGCCTTTAATCCCAGCACTTGGGAGGCAGAGGCAGGTGGATCTCTGTGAGTTCAAGGCCAGCCTGGTCTACATAGTGAGTTCCAGGACAGCTTGGGGCTACAGTGAGACCCTGTCTCAAAAAGACCAAAGAAAGGGGGCGTTGCTGGGCTGTGCAGGAGCTGCTTGGCTGTCAGTACTAGAGCACAGGCCCCAGAGCCCTGCTGGAAGAGGTGGACCATGGAGGCAGCTCCCAGGCCAGGAGAGGAGCTGAGGGCAGTGAGATGGCTGACTGCTACACAGAGCTGGAGAAGGCGGTTGTTGTCCTGGTGGAAAACTTCTACAAATATGTATCTAAGCACAGCCTGGTCAAAACAAGATCAGAAAAGCAGCTTCAGCAAGAGCTGAACCATATGTTGACGGATACAGGGAACCGAAAGGCTGCTGACAAGCTCATCCAGAACCTAGATGCCAACCATGACGGGTGCATCAGCTTTGATGAGTACTGGACATTGATAGGTGGCATCACCAGCCCCATGGCCAACCTCATCCGCCAGCAGGAGTGCCAGCAGGAGTTGCAGAGCAACAGCTAGAGGCCTCTCTTACACCCTTTCTGCCCTGACCCATGCCCCGCCAGTGCTCTTCTCAGGTCCCCCTCACCTCTTTGTTCCCTTCTCCTTCCTGACCTGTTCCTGACCCTCACAGAACAGCACAAGGATATCAGAGCCTCTCTGTAAGTGTCTCAGTGTGAGAGTGCTGCCCTAAGAGGTTCAGTCCTCAGAGTCCATAGGCCCTAGGGGTTCCTCTGTGAGATCTCAATGCTGTTCGGGTGCCCCAAGAGTTTCCTCATTTGTCCAGTCTATGTACTCTTCCAGTGCCTAATGTTCCTTTGATTCTTGCCTGATTCTGGGTCTGTCCTGGCCTCTGGAGGTCAGCTTGCTGCTTGAGGGCTCCCAGCTCCTGGCTGTAGCAGCTGTGGAGTTGGCAGCACCAGTATTATCTTCTCTTCTTTCCCTCCACCCCTCAACTGAGTGGAGAAACACTCTAAGGGACTCCCCTCCAGCTGTCTCTGTCTGGGATCAGCCTAAACTGGGTTGAGTCTCTTTTCTGCTCTGCCACTGAAATAAAGGCTGGATTTGGAGTTTGTTAAAAAAAAGAAAAGAAATGTTTTAAGCAAGAAAATTCTTAAAACTTTTTATTGCAAAGGTGATTTTTTTAAACATGGTTGGCAGTTGTTGACAGCTTTTCTTTTTCTCCCAGGAATCTCGGGTAGTTTGAACTTTGATGAGGAGGAGACTGATGGTGAGGAAGATGAAGGCAGAAAATTAAGTTCCCCATCAGCATCTTCAGAAAAAGAGAGACCCAGTTCTGCCTCCAGCCAGAAAGCAGCCACAGTATGTAATTCTAAAACTTCTTCCTTTGGAGCAAATCTGATTATTTTCCCTAACATGTCATAAGTGTTTAAATTGAGGGCTCCTTTAAAAGATTGAAGCTCTAATTTGGACTCAGAGCTTGTGACTCCCCTGTTTCTTCTGAAGTCTCTGATGTCGTTAGTCTTGAGTCAGCTGCTGTGAGACTGCTACGTCCCCTTCCCTAATCTGGTCCTTCAGAGACACAGAGCTAATGCAGGACTTTTGTCCTTTAAGCTTCCTTGCAGAGAAGGAAGTTTTGTGCCCCAGCTTCCTGTTCTCACTTGTGGCTGTCCTTTCAGGACACTGGAGCTTCTGGTACAACAACCCAGCAGGTTGACAACCAGCTGGGGGAAGTAGAGAATTTAGAGGACTTTGCATATAGTCCTGCCCCTCGGGGTATCACAGTGAAGTGTCGGATAACCAGGGATAAAAAAGGCATGGACCGAGGCCTCTTCCCCACCTACTATATGCACTTGGAGAAAGATGAGAGCCGCAAGGTAGGACATGTTTATTTTCTTGTTTTCCAGCAGTGTTGGGAATGAAACCCAGGGCCTCCCACATGCTAACTGTACACCCAGCCACACCCCACATTCTAAGACAGCCCTTGAGAGAAGACTGTTGCCGGAAATAGATTGTTGACAGGCCTTATGAGTGGAAATCACATTGGTTAGACCAAGTCAGCTGGAAGTGGGTTGTTTATGAACCCAGAAGTTCTGTTTTCAGGATTGTCGAATAGCTCATCATCTAATGGACAGGAATTACACTCCCTCATCCCCATCTACCCTGAAAATAAGAGTCTTATCTTTTAAGAAAATGGAGAAGGTTTTCCTGTGCTAGACATGAAACCCAGCCTCTTGCTAGGCAAGTAACCCACCTCTGAGCTGCACCCCAGCCCCAGAAAATGTTGTAGTGAGCTGTTTTCATCTCTTTCTTTCTCATTATTTACTTTTGGGGTGTTACTGTGAGATCTTTGATTTTCCTTTATTCATTTTAAATTTTATTTGTTTGTTTTTGAGACAAGGTCTCACTATGTAGCTGCCCTCAGACTCACAGAAATCCACCTGCCTCTGCCTCTGAGTGCTGCATGAAAGGTGTGCACCACCACGCCCCAATTATTTTTATTTATTTTTAGGGTTTTTTTGGGGGGAGGGGTCTTTTTGAGACAGGGTCTCCTGTAACCCCAGCCAGCCTGGAACTTGCTAAGCAGACCAAACTGGCCTTAAACTCATGGAGCTCCACCTGCCTCTGTCTCCTGAGTGCTGGGTTTAAAGGCCTGTGCCAGGATTAAAGGCATGTGCCATTATACCTGGCCCCAAATTGACTGGTTGGCACATGATTAGGTACCTGACAAACATTTGCTGAATGAATAGGTACGACCATGGGGCTCACTTGACTTTTGTTTGACTGACCCTTTCCTTTTTTCAGCTATTCCTTCTTGCTGGTAGGAAGCGAAAAAAGAGTAAAACATCCCACTATCTGATCTCCACCGACGCCACAGATTTGTCTCGTGAAGGGGAGAGCTACATTGGCAAACTCAGGTGATGGCCCATCTGGTTGCCGTCCTGTCCCTTCTGTAGTTTGTTCCTATAGTTTCAGAATAATTGATGTCTTTTTTTTCTCTCTCTCTTTCTGTTTATCAGGGATCGAAGCTAGGGCCCCACATATACTAAGCAAGTGCTCTACCACTAACTTGTATATCCTTAGCCTTTGCTAATTTTTTAGTAGTTCCCATATGTAAATATGTTCATCTTTTTTAAAAAATATTTTATTTGCTGGGCATGGTGGTGCATGCCTTTAATCCCAGCACTGGGGAGGCAGAGGCAGGCGGATCCCTGTGAGTTCAAGGCCAGCCTGGTCTACATAGTGAGTTCCAGGACATCTGGGGCTACAGGGAGACCTTGTCTCAAAAAGACCAAAAAAAAAAATCTAATTTATTATTTTTATATTTTTATGTGTATTGCCTGCATGCAGGTAAGTACACCCATGCCGTGCAATGCCCTCAGAAGACAGAAGAGACTGTCGGATCCCCTGGAACTGGAGTTATGGACAGTTGTTTGCTACCACTTGGGTGCTGGGATTTGAACCTGAGTCTTCTGCAAGAATATTCAGTGCTTCTAACTGCTGAGCCATCTCTCCAGCCCCAAATATGTTAATCTTAAAAAAAAAAAAACTTAGAAAATCTTGAGCCAGGCATAGTGGTTCAAGCCTATAATCCCAGTACTTGGGAAACTGAGGAAGAAGGCTTTTGCCCACAAGTATGAGGCCAGCCAAGGGTACAGAGTAAGACTCTTTGTCTAAATAAATAGGAAACAGAAATCTAAGCCCCTTTCTTGTTGTGGTATGAGATCTGTGAAAAAGACAGTGCTCAGGTTGGCAGTTGGACAGCAGGTGGATGGGCCTCCAACTTCTCTCCTAGAGAGAAAAAGTTCAGATCATCATGGTGGCTTTTTCTCCTGATACTAGATCCAACCTCATGGGGACCAAGTTCACAGTGTATGACCATGGTGTCAACCCAGTCAAGGCCCAGGGACTGGTGGAAAAGGCCCATACCCGCCAGGAGCTAGCTGCCATCTGCTATGTAAGTTCTGTCCTCACCCTCTGCTCCTTCCTCTGCCCCCTGTAGGCCTGCCTTGACAAGCCAACGTCTCTCCCTCCTCCCTTGCTGCCTCTGTCATACTTTCTCTGGCTGGCTGGCACTATGACATTTATTCAAGTTTTAATTAGATATGAATTGTCAAGTTGAGCTGTTCACTTTCATGCCATTTCCTATCTTCTCTTTTCCTAATGCTGCTTCTTTGACCAGAGGTTATGATAAATTAAAACTAAAGCCATCTCTTTGCATTTAATCTTTCCCCCCTTTTTTTTTTTTTTTTTTTGGTCTTTTTGAGACAGTGTCTCCCTGTAGCATCAGCTGGCCTAGAACTCACTATATAGACCAGCAGGCTGGGCTTGAACTCACAGAGATCCGCCTGCCTCTGCCTCCAAGTGCTGGGACCAAAGATGTGTACCACCCGCCAGGCTTCTTTCTCCCTCCTTAATCCTCCTGCTTCAGTTGAATTCTGGGATTAAAGGTGTGCACACCTGGCTTTTCTTTCTACCTTTCTTTCTTGATGTGGTCTCAGTGCTTTGCCTAAGCTGGTCCCAAACTCCTGGGCTCAAGTGACCGTCTCACGTCAATCTCCCAGGTGCCTGGGACATGTATGTGCAGACATGTATGTCCCGGCACATGCCACCTCACTTTCTGTTTTCAGTTTTGTTTCTTCCTGTTATGCTCCAGCAAAGTAACAAGATTGACTTTGGAGCTCTAACATCAGCAGTACCTTATGTGCCCAAGGCATTTTCCTGTAAGAACAGAACATGATCTCTTTTTCCTTTCTATTTCCAAACTCTGCCTTATTTTATTATCTTTCAGGAAACAAATGTACTTGGATTTAAAGGTCCTAGGAAAATGTGTGTGATCATTCCAGGAATGAATATGAATCACGAACGGATCCCATTTCGGCCACGAAATGTGAGAACATACATGAGATCATGTCTCAAAAAAAGAAAACATGTATTTTATCAGCAAAGGTCTTTAAAAGACAGTAATGCACTATAGAAGAGATCACTTTAAAAAAAAGTATCAGCATTGCAGAGATGGCTCAGTGGTTAAGAGCCCTGGCTGCTCTTACAGAGGACCTGGGTTCAGTTCCCAGCACCCACATGGCAGCTAACAACTGCCTATAACTCCAGTTCCGGGGATCCAATACCTCTTCTGGCCTTCGTGGGCTTTTCGTACACAGGTGCACTTATATCCAAGCAGGAAAAACTCATACACGTAAAATTAAAATAAATAAATAAAAATTTTAATATAAGAATAAAAAGCTCTGCTTTAATGGTTGGCTTTAAGTTTTTGCTGCTGTTTTACCCTTTCTAAAATGGAGAAGATATTTCTTTACCTTCTAACTCACAGAGTTGTGAATAAATGACAAAACAATACTTTTCCCTTCACTAGGAACATGAGAGCTTGCTTTCAAAGTGGCAGAACAAATCCATGGAGAACCTGATCGAGCTACACAACAAGGCCCCGGTGTGGAATGATGACACACAGTCCTACGTCCTGAACTTCCATGGCCGGGTTACTCAGGCTTCAGTGAAAAACTTTCAGATTGTCCACGGAAACGACCGTAAGCCCACAGGAAGGGCTGGGTGGGAACAGCAGGAAAGGTGCACTGACCAGATGCGGAAGTGAGCATTTCCCACCACTGACAGGAAGCTGTGTTAGGAGGGAATGACTTAGAGAAATGATTTCTGTGAAAAGATAAAACTACAGGTTTAGAGGAAAAACATGAGCAACTTACTGTAGCACATCAAAGAAGCCTTGGGTAGGACTGTCTGAGACACAGATGCAAGTGACCTCAGTAAATCCTGCTTGTGACTACAGCCACCCAGCAGGTCTGTTGCTGGCCAGGGACTCTGGACTTTCCTTTAGCCCTTCATGCTAGGAATAATGTTCCAGTTGTTCCCAGGGGGTAGAATGGAAATAGAAACTTTGATTTGAGTTTTGCCTTTTTGAGATGGGGTCTTGCTATGTAGGCTGGTCTGGTCTAGAATTCTGATCCTCCTGCCTCAGCCTCCTGAATCCTGGGATTATAGATGTGTGCCCCCACACCCAGCTACAGGTTTCCTACTTTATATTTTGTATATGGTGCTGGGGGTGGAACTTTACCTCTCATCCTAGGTAATTGCTATACCACTGAGCCCTTGGTTGCCAGTTTGAAAGAGAACTTGGGGTTAACCTGTTGGGTGGCCTTTTTGCCCCCAGTACAATCACATTAACCTCTAACATCCTAATTTCTTTCTGTCTCTAGCTGACTACATAGTCATGCAGTTTGGACGTGTGGCTGATGACGTGTTCACACTAGACTACAACTACCCGCTCTGTGCACTTCAGGCCTTTGCCATTGGGTTGTCAAGCTTTGACAGCAAGCTGGCATGCGAGTGAGAAGCAAGTGGGGTTGAGGAGCTTCTTCACTGCAGAACTTCCAGGAGCCAAAAGCTGCAGCCCTCAGCCCTGCCCCAGGACACTAAGAGCAACATTCCGCCCCCTTTTGTGATCAGTGTGTGTATAAATATGCACATGTGTGTATACATACATGTACGTATATATACATGGATGCATGCTTACATACACACGATCATGCCGTCTCTTTTCTTCAGAGATCACAGTTTCACAGGGGTGAGAGATGGATTAAAGCACAGGGAGGTGACACCAGGGCACATTGGCGACTACTCATACACAGCAGATCTGTGGTTTAAGAGATTTCCTGTGCTTGGGAACTTCCCCAGAATCAGGTTCTGAAGATTAAAAGCTTGGGTCTCGATGGGCGTGGTGGCACACACCTTTAATCCCAGCACTTGGAAGGCAGAATCAGGCTGATCTCTGTGAATTCAAGGTTAGCCTGGTCTATGAAGTGAGTTGCAGCCCAGCCAGGGCTACATAGTAAGATCCTATCTCAAAAAACTAAAAACAAAATCCTTGGGTCTCCTTTTCTGAAGACCCTTTCAGAAGGGAACTACTCCCTAAATTGCCTTTAGTCCTGAAGACTTTTCTAGCCAATGGCCTGATTGTGTCTCTCTTCCTGACTCAACTCAAATCAGCCTTGGTAGCACAAAAGCAGCCATAAACAATCCATGCACAAATGAATGTAGCTGTGTTCCAATAAAACTTTATTTACAAAATGGGCAGCAGGCCAGCTTTGGCCTGTGGGCTTTAGTTTGCCAGCCCCTGCCTCAAGGGCTTGAGCATCTTTCAGAACAGGCATGTGGTCACGAAACCGTGTGTAGAGAATGGACAGGTCTCAGGAGCAGGCCTGAGGCCTGAATCTTAAGAGGTACTCATGCTGAATCCACTCTAGCTTTTACCTCATGGTGACATGCCTCTAGAGTGTCATCTGCCCTCAGTGCTGGGAAAACCCAAAGTCTGTTATCATGGCAACAGATGCAGGCTTGCTTCTTTTTTCAGGGGGAATGTGGCACCAGCTTGTTTCCCGGGGCCTGGGAAGGCTCCAGTGTCCCAGCTTCCCACTTCCTTTACTTCCCTCAGAGCAGGTTGGTGGACACCCATCTCCATGAAGTGGCTGTGCCAGGGCTCAGCTCTCCAGGGTCTTAGTGCAGTGTCATTGGCAGGAGAGGCTAGGTGAGGACTGCCTCAACTGGCCATTCTACAGACCTAGGGTCAGCTTTGCCCTTCATCCTCAAAGCCCAGGTAGATACCGCCTGGGTCACAGGCCTTGAGATGGTTCATATCTCCCAGAAAATCATGACTTCCTCTAGTTCACCAGCCCAGAGTGTATCTGAACTGGAGAATTTGAAAACTAAATTCTGCGTTCGGTGATGTTCCTCTCCTACAATGCTTACTGGCATGGGGCAGGGAGTCCATGGCTACTGCTCCAAGGTAGTGCTCATGTGGAGGACATCCCTTCGTCCCTACTTCCTCTTGTTCCTTGCTTGGCATCAAACAGCCATGTGATGGTACTAGAGCTGGGAGGTGAAGACCTGGTCTCACTCCCACAGCAAGTCATGTCTGTCCCTTCAGATGGTACCAGTTTCTGCTCAGGCATGCTTCCCAATAAGTGCCTCACTTATAAAAGTACCCTAGAGCCTGTCACTTCTGCTACCTGCTGTCCTTACACACGGCCTGACAAGCCACCTTTGTGGAGGAGAGAGAGCGGTTCACGTCTCTCCAGTTAAAGGGTACTACAGGCCGGGGGGGGGTCACAGACTACTGGAACTAATCTTTCCAGCTTAGAGAGCTGAATGAACACCCCCATTTCATGGGCTTTCTGCTTGAGTTTGCAGGTGACTGGTTTTACATAAATCATATTTATACCTTTTGTATGCTACAGAAATAAAGATAATTTATATAAGATGTGTTTCCATCTTCAGAGTCCCATCCCTCTTTTCCTCCTGTCATGTTCTGTGGTGTTTGTTTTCAGTTCTTTGACCCAAGTAGCAACAGATACTTTAGTCCTGGGGTGCCGCAGACAGAAGTCTGTTTGGGAGATGATTTAGGCAGTTTGCTGAAGATCTCAGAGCTTCCTGCACAGATGACGGAACTGAGAGCTGAGTGTGCAAGAGGCCAGGGACAGGTGGGCTTCACATCATCCTGGGGCCTATTCTGGTGGGCATCTGCGCTGGTAGGCCTCCCAGATCTTTTGTGTTGGACTCACTTAGGGACTCAGCAAAATAAGTGAAGTAGGTGCTGGAGAGATGGCTCAGCAGCTAAGAGCACTGACTGCTCTTGCAGAGAACCTGGGTTCTGTTCTCAGTACCTACATGGTGGCTAACAACCATTCGTAACTCCAGTTCAAGGGGATCCAATGCCCTCTTCTAACCTGCACAGGCACTCACGAGCAAGTGCATGCATGTAAATTTAAAAAATAATAAAAAGGGCTAGAGAGATGGATCAGTGGTTAAGAACACCGGTTCTTGCAGAAGACCGGAGTTCAAATCCCAGCACCCACTGGAAACTAACAACTGTAACTCCAGTTCCAGGGCATCCAATGGCCTCTTCTGGCCTCTGTGGGCATTGCACGACACGGTGCACTTACTACATGCAGGAAATACACGAATACTCATAAAATAATAAATATTAAAAAAATAAAATAATCTCAGCCAGGCGAGGTGGCACATGCCTTTAATCCCAGCACTTGGGAGGCAGAGGCAGGAAGATCTCTGAGTTCAAGGCCAGCCTGGTCTACATAGTGAGTTCCAGGCCAGCTGAGGCTACAGGGAGACCTTGTCTCAAAAGGGCCAAAAAAAAAAAAAAAAAAAAAAACCAACAATATCATTATTGCTGGCTGTGGTGGTTCGAACCTATAATCCTAGCATAGGTGAGGCTGACAGGAGAATTGCCTCAAATTTGAAATCTAATGGCTACAGAGTAAGACCCTGTCCCAAAAAACAAACTCAAGAAACAAAACCAAGCTGGGTGTGGTGGTGCATGCCTTTAATCTTAGCACTGGGGAGGTAGAGGCAGGTAGAGCCCTGTGAGTTCAAGGCCAGCCTGGTCTACATAGCAAGTTCCAGGCCAGCTGGGCCTACAGGGAGACCCTATCTCAAAAAGGTCACCTCCCCACCCCCAAAATCTTGGGGTTGGAGAGATAGCTCAGCAGTTAAGAGCATTGGCTGCTCTTTGCAGAGGACCCAGGTTCAGTTCCCAGCACCCACATGGCAGCTAACAACCATCCCATGCCTTCTGGCCTCAGAGGGTATTGGATGCACTGGTGCATTTACATGCAGGCAAAAGTCATACACAAGTAAAAATAAATTGTTTAAAGACATGGAGAGAAGCAGAGAAAGCATAAAGCTCAGGCTGAGAATTCAGTAGTTTGATTTTCTATTTTCACATAAATTTAAAAATTTTATGCATAGTGAGTTTTGCCTGCATGTATGGAAGTGCACCTGTCCATGCCATGCCCAAGGAGGCCAGAAGAGGGCTTCAGATCCCTTAGAACAGGAGTTACAGATCGTTGTTAGCTGCTGTGTTGGTGCTGGGAACAGAACCTGGGTCCTCTGCAAGAGCAGCCAGTGCTCTTAAACACTGAACCATCCCTCCAACCCCTATTGTCATATAACTTTATGTGGCTAAGGTGCATGGTCTTTTGCTTTGTTTTGTTTTGAGACAGGGTCTCACTATTCAACCCTGGCTGTCAAACTTGCTATGTAGACCAGACTGGCCTGGAACTCGGCGATCCACCTGCTTTTGCCTCCTGAGTACTAGGATTAAAAGCATGTGCTCCCACGCTCATACCTTAAAAAAAAATAAAATGAAAACAAGAAACACAGTCTCATGTAGTCCCAGACCAGCCTGGAACTATGTAGTTGACCTTGAACTTCTGATTCTCCTGCCTTCACCTGAGCGATTACAGCACCTGACTAAACAGGTGACCTGTTCTGTGGATGGTTGTATAGGTTGGGGTATATATGCATGCTCATGGGCACATGTTTGCAGGTCCACATGCATATGGAGGCCAGATGTCGGCCTCAAGCTTTGTTCCTTAGGTGCCATCCTCCTTGTGTTTTGAGACAAGGTCTCAGTAAGCTGAGGCTACCAGATGTGGCTAGGCTGGCTGACCAGGCCAGCCTAGGATCTGTTGCTGGCTCAGTGCTGGGATTACAAAGGACAAGCCAGACTTTTTTTTTTTTTTTTTTTTTAATGAATTGAATTTAGGATTTCATGTTCACATGGTACCAATTGAGCCATCTCCCCAGTTCCCAAATAAACATCTTGTTTTAAGACTGTTTCCCTGTAGGCCCAGCTGGCCTGGAACTCACTATGTAGACCAGGTTGACTTGATTGATCCACTGGCCTCTGCCTCCCAGGTGCTGGAATGAAAGATGTGCAACACCAAACCCTGCAATATCTGTTTTACCAGGTACACATCAGTTAAGTCGGGACCTGCCCATTTTTTTGTGTCTATATATGACTTTCTTAGGACACACAGACATCTTGATTCACACAGGAAACACTCTGCTACTGCATACTGCCTTGTCCTCATCAGCCTTTGGCTCCTCTGCACAGAATGGCCCCTGCTCCACTCTCCCTTTAATCATAGTTTGTGTTCATTTCTTTCTTTTTTTGCTTGTTTGTTGAGTCTCAGACTGTGGAGCAGCATGTGCTTGCTATTCCAGCACTCCACAGGCTAAGACTGGAGAAGGAGGCTGAAGTTGAAGAACGGAGCCTTTGAGGCCAGCGAGTCAAAAAAGCCCTACAAGTCTGCTAGAGTTCCAGGAGGCAGTGGAGTTTGCCTTTGTTGCTGGGTGAGAAAGTAAGACAGCTTTGTCGCGCCACCTAATGGCCAATAATGCTCATTACGTGTGCGTTAAAACAACAAAGGAGAGACCAGAGGTTTATCTAGGTAAATAAGTCCTAAACTAGCCAGGCGTGGTAGTGCACGCCTTTAATCCCAGCATGTGGGTGGCAGCTGGTGCTACAGGGAGACTCTGTCTCAAAAAGACCTAAACTGTGGACTGGAGAGATGGTTCAGTGGTTAAGAACACTGACTCTTCTTGGAGAAGATCCAGTTTTGAATCCCAGCACCCACATAACAACTGTCCATAACTCCAGTTCCAAGGTATCCAAGGGCCTCTTCTATCCTCTGTGGGCATTGCATGACATGGGCACACTTATGTACATGCAGGCAATACACACACATAAAATAATGTTTTTTAAAAAAGTCCTAAGTTGCTTAATGACTACCGCACTGACATGTGTTGAAACATAACTTCTGAAGGTCTGCTTTTGGCTTTTGGGTGTGGGAGACATTGAGTCTTAGGTGTTTTTATGGGAGCCCTCACCACTAAGCTACACCCTTGGCCCTAAGTACTTTTAAAGTAAATTTAAATAGTTTTCTAGGAATGTTCACGATAAGGAAAAAAAAAAAAAAAATCAAGAGCTGGGGAGATGACTCAGCAGTTAAGAGCACTGGCTGCTCTTGCAGAGGACCCAGGTTGGTTCCCAGCACCCACATGGTGGCTAACAACCACCACTCCAGTTCCAGGTGATCCGAAGCCCTTCTCTGACCTTCTTGGGCATTGCATGACACGGTGCACTTACATACATGCAGGCAATACACTAATACACATAAAAAACCAGTCAGCATGGTTGAAAGTGGGTAACTGCATGTGTGGGTCCTTGCCCCAGCTGTGGTCCTAACCCCACTTCCCTTGTCCCACCTCTATTTTCACTTGAAATAACTGCCTGGGTAAAACAGGCCTGACCGACATTCTTGAAGTAAGTTACCTGACATGTTTCTGTGATTTTTTCACTTTGCCTGGTCTTTTTGTCCACCGGATCCATGCTCCTTTTCATGCTGCCTTAAACATAGTCACCTGAGTGGAAGAGCAGGAGTAGAGTTCCCACAGGCTGGTCAAGCTGGGGAGACTGTATTTTTGTTTCCCTTTAAATCTACAGTGTTGGGGGTGGAGCCCAGTGCCAGTACTTGCTAGGCTCACACCTTTTAATTGAGCTACATCCCTAGGCCCTTGGCTTATGGTGTTAGGGTTTCTACACCATGAGAGGGTGGGATCTATTGCTTCTTGGTTTTTGTTTTGTTTTGCTTTGTTTGCAGGGAGAGGGGATCTGTGAGTCTCCGTGTAGACCCAGCTGCCCTGGAATTGCCTATGTAGACAGGTTGGCCTTTATTTCACAGAGACCCACCTGCCTCTGCCTCCCCAATGCTGGGATTAAAGTTGTGTGCCACCATGCTCTGACAGATCTACTGCTTTTGGACCTCTAGTTGGGGTGCCAGATAGTTATGGCAGGAGTGTAAGAAAGCAAAACTGACCCCACACCTGCCCAAAGCAAAAGGAGGGGGAGGGGTCAAGGTCCCATAATTGCCCTGGAGGGCATCTCCAATGATCTAAGGGTTTCCCACTATACTCTACCACCTATGGGTTCCATCCAAGCTGGAAACCAGTGTTCTACAATGGGTCCTTGTGCTTCTCTCAACATTCAGACTACATGAAGGCCCCAGTAGGGGTGGGAGTCACCCTAATCTATCATCTAACCTGTTTGGTACATTTTTAATAAGGTAGTTCTCAAGCCAAGGGGAGGCTAGGGAGGAAGAATGATGTGAGGAAGAATGAGAGTGACAGGCAGAAATAGCCAGGAATTAGATAAAGATCTTAAAATGGGGGACTGGCTAGATGGCTTAACAGGTAAGGGTGCTCACTGCCAAGCCTGATGACCTGAGTTTGATCCCCAGGATCCACATGATGGAAGGAGAAAACTGACTGCTGCAAGTTATTCTCTTAGCTCCACACATGCACCTTGGCATTCATGTGTACACAGACACAGACACACACACAGACACACACACACACACATACACACACACACACAGAGCATACATTCATACAGATA